GTTCAGCAGCCCCAGTGCTCCCAGTTCCCAATGGTTCACAAGCCCCAGTGCTCCCAGTTCCCAGCGGTTCACCAGCCCCCAGTGCCCTCAGTTCTCCCAGTTCCCAACCGTTGACCAGCCCCAGTGCTCCCAGTGCTCGCTGGCCAACCAGCCCAGTGCTCCCTCTCCCCTCCCCAGTGCTCCCAGTGCTCCCCCCTTCCCTCCCCAGTGCTCCCAGTACCACCCCAGCAGGTCACTGGTGCCATTTGCCTTTATTGAGCCACAACGGGGACGATTTGGCCAACACAGAAACCCAGCAGGGGTTGGACTGGGACAAACTGGGAGGCCACTGGGCCAGACTGGGAGGTCCCCCCCACCCTCTCCCTCTTGCCAGGGGGGTCCCAGTGCCCCCCCCCCGCTCCCCAGCCTGGGGTCATAGCGGCAGCGGGGCACCCAGGCGTCGGGGGGCACCCAGGCGTCCGGGCGGCGGCGGGTGGGGGGGCCCCCCCTCAGAAGCTCACCAGTGTGTACACCATACTGGGGAGAAGGGCACCGTGGTGCTCCCAGTCCCTCCCAGTCCCTCCCAGTCCCAGCCCAGTGGCCCTGAGTCCTGCCCCAGTGCCCCCCCACTTCCCTCCCAGTGCCCCCCAGTCCCAGCCCACCCTCACCACCTCCCAAAAAAAAACCCGTGCCTCCCCAGTCCCCCTACCCCCCCCCCAGTGCCCCCCAGTCCCAGCCCAGCCCCACCACCTCCCTCCACAGTCCCCCCACTCCCCTCCCAGTGCCTCCAGTGCCTCCCAGTGCCTTCCCAGTTCCTCTAATCCCCTCCCAGTGCCTCCCAGTCCCATCCCAGTCCCACGACCTCCCTCTGCAGTCCCCTCGCTCCCCTCCCAGTGCCTCCCAGCCCAGTGCCTCCCAGTGCCTTCCCAGTTCCTCTAATCCCCTCCCAGCGCCTCCCAGTCCCATCCCAGTGTTTCCCAGGGCCTTCCCAGTTCCTCTAATCCCCTCCCAGTGCTTCCCAGTCCCCTCCCAGTGCACCCATTCCCCTCCCAGTGCCTCCCACACACATCCCAGTGCCTCCAGTCTCATCCCAGTCATTCCTACCCCCATCCCAGTGCCTCCCAGTGCCTTCCCAGTTCCTCTAATCCCCTCCCAGTGCCATCCCAGTGCTTCCCAGCGCCTTCCCGGTTCCTCTAATCCCGTCCCAGTGCCTCCCAGTCCCCCCCACACACATCCCAGTGCCTCCAGTCTCATCCCAGACATTCCTACCCCCATCCCAGTGCCTCCCAGTCCCATCCCAGTTCCTCCCAGGGCCTTCCCAGTTCCTCTAATCCCCTCCCAGTGCCTCCCAGTCCCCTCCCAGTGCCCCCAGTCCCCTCCCAGTGCCTCCTATGCACATCCCAGTGCCCCCAGTCTCATCCCAGTCATTCCTACCCCCATCCCAGTGCCTCCCAATCCCATCCCAGTGCCTCCCAGTTCCTCCCCAGTGGCTCCCAGTCCCATCCCAGCACCCCCACCTTCCTCCCCAGTGCCCACCAGTCCTATCCTAGTGCCTCCCACTCCCCTCCCGGTGCCCCCACTCCCATTCCAGCCGCCTCCCCGTCCCCCTCAGCCCTCCCAGCTCCATCC